AAAAAAAAAGGGTTTAATGGGGGCCTTTTGTGGTGTTTTTTGGGGAACATTTTTCCCCCCCCGGTTTTTTTTTTTTTTTTTTTTTTTTTTTTTTTTAATGTCGATAAAATCATTGCTATGCGGCACAAGGTTCACCTTTGGGCATTTGCACTTTATTTTCTTAAAGCAATATCCATAAACCTTCACTTTTAATACAATGTAATATGAATTATTGTACAGTAGCACTGGGCATAAGAGTAAAGTCTCATTTTTCGTCTTTGAAAGTTTTTAAATATCTGTAAAAGTTGTTGTATATTTCAACTATTCCTCATCTGAGTTGGCCTGATTTCAAAGTCAAAATAAGTAGAAGCTGTACCACATGCTTGTCGAACAGGATGGTAGTATAACATCACTGTGGAAACCAAGAAGTGCACTGATGAAAAAGAAATCAAGATTTTCCAAAACTTAAATCTTCAAAAACAGAAAATTAGATTTATGGATAAAATTTAAAATGCATCACCTCGCTTTACTGTGCAGTAACACTAGATTATGTGAAATACAAACATACATTTACAATTCTTCTCCTTTTGAAGACGTATAAAAAGCTTTACATTCTAATGAACATTTAACACTACAACTGGAAGACATTTTAAGTATCCAAAACAAATAAAACAAAACAAGCCAAACGACAACATGAATTATGAAGTCTCTGTAAACAAAATTGTCCTACAAAAAAGGGTAGGATTAAAAAAAAGGATGTAGTTGAGACCAAAACACCAGACTGAAGACTTTAGTTGTCTAGTTTATGATAAAAAAAATAAATAAATAAAAAAAATAAATCACTGGAATAGAAATTGAGCTTGTTTTAATTTATCGTGCTATTAATTGATTTATTGCGACAGACCTATTGATGCGTTTGACTCTCCTTCACTGCTCTCGTTTGGAGCACACAACATGTTGGCTCACATTTGCAATGTACCGAACAATGGGCTGAGATACAAATCAATTACTTTAATTTATTTATTTTTATAGAGTGTGGCTGCAATATTACAAAGATAAAGTGTGACCTTAAACTAGGAGGGAATGAAATCACTCATAGCTGTTCATAACGCGTTGAGTCCAACAATTACTTCCATGCACGTTTAATTTGATGGATTTATGGGCGGTGTTCACCACGAACTGGACTGCAGCATAACACTTTCACTTTTTTCTTTTTAACTTACACAAATTAATAACATTTATTTCCTCAATGATATTCCTTTTTTTCTGTTTCGCATCCGCTTGTTTTCATGACTGGGCCACAAGGCTCCAATACAAGCTCAAAGTTGACCTGTAAACATGAATGCATGTTCTTTGCTATCACAGGTGAAAGGAAATGGTAAGGCTAGAAAAGCTCATCAACAAATGTATTGCTTCATTGATATGTTCTCAACTTCGAGTAATTACAGATGCAAATCTGTCGGTGTGCATCGATTCAATTTTTAGGGTCACGATTTGATTCAGGAACTATTTTTAATTCAGAAACACAATCTAGAGATTCTGTGTAAATCATGTGAGTGACGTGGAAAAAAACTGGTTTAACAAATGGAACATTTATTTAAGACATTTCTACATACTGTATCAAATTCCATCCGTTTATATTTAAACAATTTCTGGAGAATGTTACCATTTTGATGATGATGCCGATGGGACTGATTAATGATGTGTCAACAGGCTCTGAGGAGGAATCCCACAAATAAAAATAGGGGCATTCTGGCATTCTATCACTTTGTTTGAGGCGAACGGTCTCTGCAAAGAAACAGTGGGACTGTTGGGTTATATTGGATGGCAACGGGGGGGCAGATTACTGTCGCAGCTGTCGTCCATCTTGCTAACTACTTACACTTCCCACTGGCCCGCAGTTGTGAAGGAAAGTGACATCAAAGTCGTATCAAAATCGCTTTGGTTGTTCCCGCTGGAATCACATTCAAAAAGATTGGATACGAGTCATATTTGGGAAGAATCTCAAATGTGACTCAACAAAACAAAAAAACAAAACACAGATGTATCTGAGTGTTCACACTTATTCTAAAAAGACTTAACCCTCCAAAAAATAAGTCTGATTTGGGTGACATTTGTCTTAGTAAGCAACCAACTCTGGCAGATTCTGCTCAGTGTGTCTGTTACTGTCCTCCAGAAAGCAGATTGTTTCACGGTTCTGACTAAATGAACAAAATTTGATTTTTTTTTTTTTTTTTTTTAAAGGTGGGAGAGTTTTGTTCCAAATAAACAGAATGTTTCTGAGTACACACCAGCGCCAAATCACACACACATAAGACAGCATAATGATGCCTATTTGTATTTAGAACCATTTCCCATATTAACAATTACCACATAATTACAACAAATGGTGTTGCATCCTGGGTCTTTTTTATTGTTGATCAGATTTCCCTCCATAAACACTCTTTCTTTTCCTGTGCTGCTCTTGCAGAGGCGCCTCCATCTGGGATGTCCAAGAATGGATACTTCTTTCAAGAAATGGGTGAGCCTGATGCATCAAAAACAGAAATTCTAAACAATACATTAAAATAGGGGGCGGAAATGATGATCTTTTCTTCAAGAGATAATTGCAAACATATGATAAAAATGTAGTCGTAATGGTCTTTTTTTTTTAGTGAAACATTGTTTTTCACTTTTAAAAAATTGGGAGAATTGCACCCAAATTTCATTGTTACAATGATAATATTCTATTCTATTAAGCTAAAGTTTGAATGGGATCCCAATTTTCCAATTTATTGCAATAAAATTCATTTCCAAGGCAATTTTTACCACAGATGTGCATCTTCCCGTTTAAAGAAGACGTTGAAACTGCAGCGCAGACACAAAAACCGCTCCCAGCTCTCACGCTGCACTGTGTTCGGATATAAATAATGAACTTTTCAGTCTGTTATAACAGCAGTTTCATTACCTTCAAGCCAAGGAGAGACTCCCAATTAGTATGTGCAGCCATAGCAGTCAAGATGGAATATACTTGCGTTGGATCTCCCTGTCTCCCTCAGCCAATTATTCCCCATCCTGTAATACAGCGATTCACTCAGCAGAGTCGCAGAAGGCCCCCTGCTGCAGATGAGCATGGCTGTCTTTATTAGGCAACCTTTTATCAAAAATATGAATGCAATTACATTATTGTTGGTATGTAAGCATTACCCGCCGTCATCGTCGTGGGGGATCATTAGCAGAGGCTGGTCTGGAAGCTCAATTGTGAGCAAACGTGTGCGACGACCAAACGGTGACTCATGTTGGCATGTTAAAGGTTTCTGCTGTGGGCCACCTGTAAGGTTCTGCCCTGCTCCGCAGAGCGGGTTCTGTGATTTACATAAACTCATCATTGGCATGAACGCCATTAGCGCTGAAATGATTAATCGCGTTGAATCGATTGTTGAAGTCATCGTCAACGAATTTAGTAATTGATTAATCATTAACTGGATTATACAGTCGGTAAAACATGCCATTTGCTGAAAGAACAACTCACTCATAGCTGTAATTAAGCCAAAACTGTACAAGAAATATAAATGTTGGCCCCCAGTCAAACAGAGTCCATCAGGTGTGAAAACTAGGCCCATCACCATAACCAATAAATCAATTAATCACATGATAAACTAAAACAAACGCAATAATTTTCATTTGCTCGATTTATCGTTTTTTTTCCCTCTCTCTCTTTCTACCAAAATTGGTCTTCAGTCTGGTGTTTTGGTCTCAACTATCCCTTTTATGTGTTAGCACGGAAAGATAATTTTCTCTACAGAGACTTCAGAATTCATTTAATTTGTTTTTTCTGTTATTTTATTTATTTTGTATATTTAAAATGTCTTCATTCGTCCACCGTGAGCAGTGTTTCCTCGGGGGTCTTGGCCTTGGGGCTGGGGGAAATGTTTTGGTGGGGCTGTGCAGATTGATCATTCCCAATATCTTTACTTTCGGGTGATCGACAATTGGTTGAAGCCAAACTTATCCACCAGTCTTTTCTACCACCACAAGGGTCTGAGAGAAAGCTGCGTTTCACTCTAGTCAGCCTACTGTTGCCAACTTTGCAACTTTTTTGCTATAGAAACAAATCGGTGTACGCCAAAATCAGTCAGGCTTTTTAAATATATGCAAACTGTGCACCCTTACTTCCTTTTAACAACAGCAGCCTGTAGAACAATAGATTGGTAATGACCTTTAATAAAAACAAAATACATTAAACAGTTATTAAACAAATACTTGTATTGCATGTCTACATATTTGACAGGACATTCCTTGGATGATGTTTGGGGAAACACTGATTGAAAAACAAACCCCTCATATCAGTAAAGCCAGAAAATGCAATATGTGTAAGCATCTGACCAGTTCTATACGTGCTACTTCCTCTTTACAGCACACATCTTTTGAAAGTGTTAAGAGTGTGTCCTGGCGATACACACCAGGACATACAACTTATATAAATATCTAGCTTTAGAGCACACATATCAGCCTAAATATACCAAACACCATATGTGAGCAGCTGCTCTCCGGCATATGGAGCTAATTCTGTTCTCAGAACGCAAATCGCAGAAGTTTAAAACTTTTTAATGATGCAAAGATGCTTCGGAGTGGGAGTCTGCATAATGTCACCGCTCCGAGCTCACCTCAAAGGCGGCCGTGGAACGTCGCAAACGTTTGAACCGTATCAAACAAAACGAAACCCTCGGCTCTCGTTCCTTCCACATATTTGCACGCTTTATGTTAGCAGAGTTAGCCTCACATGCAGTTTGTTCAGATTCAATATTCTGTTCAGACCAAAAGGCTGTAAGACAAAACCCAGATTTAAAAGAATTACCTACCTAAAGTAAGAAAATGTGTGAGTAAATAACAAACTTGCTGAATTGACGCCATTATATTTTGAAACAAACCCAGGGTTCCTGCTGGTGAGCTGTAGCTGCTCCCACACAAGGTGATTTGAAAGTCGGAGCGTCAGCCGGTGGGTCTGAGGCTCGGAGGGGGGAAGCAGGCAAGGCAACAACACAGCAAGGTTCAGCTGATGTCAAGCGCTGAGGGATCGCCCTGATGCAAGACAAACTAAATACACTGAAATTGGTGCCTTCTCACAGATGAGGTCAGCAGATAAAGAGCACAAGTATGAGATTGTTACCGTCACATCACGACGATGGCCGGCTGATATTTGGGAACCCGGTAGTTACTGTAGGATTTGATTTAAGGCTCTCCTGTGTCACGAGGAGATATTGGGATGACTCACACAAAACAGCTGCAGGGCGAGTCCTCTGAATTTCTCTACCAGACAAAATACCTGAACGTTAGACATCCAAAAAAAACCTTTATTTTTTATTTTTTGTCATTTTTTCTGTAAGCTGGCTTCATTTTCACATTTCTTTTCTGCATCTCTGTAATACAGTTTTTCATTTTTTTCCTTACTGGATCACTGAGAGCTGATTTCAAAGAACGTCGGCTTTACATCTCGATTTGTTATTTCTTTAAAACTCAGCTTCATTAAAGGAAATAAAGAGTAAAGTGCATCGCCAAAGGATTTCTACCTCATATTTTTTTTATATATTTTGTTACATTACAAATGCAGATCTAACTGCATCTTTTGGGGTTTAGTCTAATAGAGTAATACAAGCTAGTGTAGTGGAAGGAAAATAATACATTATTTTTATCTTTTTTTTTTTCAAACAAGTATTTGAAAAGTGTGGCATGCTTCTGCATTCAGCCTTTCTGAGTCAATATTTTGTCGAACTTGCTTCTCACCGTCATCACAACTGTAAGTCTGTTTTTCCAGCTTTGCACGTCTGGAGACAGAAATGTTTTTTTTTCTGTTGTCGTTTTCAGTCGGGCTGTATGGAGAGCATCTCTGAACATCAATTTTCAAGTGCTGACACAATTTCCCAACTGGATTTGTTTTGTCAAGCTCAAGTCCTCTGGGCCTCGTCCAGGCTGAGACGCATTGTTTTATTTTCTAAGATGATTCCATAGGTGTGATATTAATGACTCCCAGGGTTCCATCCTGGGCTTCACTTATTTAATATCTACATGCCCCCGCTAGCTCATATTATAACAAGTAATGAGATTAGTTGCTATGGCGACGCAGATCATGCACAGATGTACATTACGATGTCACCAGGTGACCATGAGCCCATTTAAGCACTGAACAAACTGAAGTTATGTCTGGACCAAAAGAGGATCAGTCGAGTCAACGCACAGCTTCAGTTATTACAGCTAAAAATCAGCGATCTGGGTGTAGTGATGAACTCTGATCTGAACCTTCAGAGGCACATAAAGGCAGTTACAAAGTCAGTCTTCTGTCACCTGAAGAACATCTCCAGGATTCTTGAGAAACTCATCTTTGTGTTTATCTTTTGTTGCATTGATTAGTGCAACAGTGTCTTTACAGGTTTTCCAAAAATAAAAAATCAGATAGCTGATTCTGCCGTTCTGACTAAAACCAGGAAAATGGAGCATATCACCCAGTTCTAAAGTCCTTCAACTAAGAGAACAGACTTTAAAATACTGTTGTTGGTTTATAAATCACTGAATGGCTTAGCACCTCGATACATTAAAGACCTGCTGTTGTTGTATCAACCTTCCAGACCTCTCAAGTGTTCTGGTTCCAGTCTACATCCCCAGAACCAGAACCAAACAATGAGAAGCAGGATTCAGTTTTTATGCTTCTCTAATCTGGAACAAACATCCAGAAAGCTGCAATAATGCTGAAGCACTAAGTTCATTTAAAACTAAAAACCTGCTTGTTTAGAGATTCCTTTGACTCATAATAGCTGGAATATTAAACTGTAGTTTGCTTACTTTGCAATGTAATGTTTTGCTTGTTTGCTGTTTTACATTCAAGCAGTTTGAATCACCATAGTCCTGAAATGTGCTTTACAAGTAAAGTGCCTTGTTAGGTCTTTCCTTACCAATTAAACTACATATCCCACAATGCACCACAACACCTACTTCATGCCAAACAATGGCAAACCAAGTTAACACCTTTTGCTGATAAGCTGAGTACACAGCACAGTGAGTTCACACAGTGCTTCACTTACTTTGAAGTGCAAAAAAAAAAAATAAAAAAATTGCCTGGCACTGTAAACCATTTGGTTTTGACATGAAGAGAGCAGCTACAGACATCCAGATGGAGCTTATAGACATGTTATATTTTTGTTCTACATCCAGAAATTTTGTGTATGCACAATGCTGGACAACAGAAAAAGAACCTGGAGGTGAGAGTATTATTAATTTAGTGCAGCACACCCAGATTAAAGCCAGTGAAAAATGAAAAGCAACTCAAAAACACTCATATTCTTTTTTTTGTTTTGGTTTTTTTTTTCACACTATGTGTGTCTGCTATGCCACGTGCAGACTTGTTGCCATAGCAACCAACTGACAACAGCTCCACTATATCAGGATTCAACACCAGAAGATACTCAAATATTTACCACACAGAAGAAAAAGGCCATCCACACCTCCAAAGTACTCTGCAGATTCCCACAGCTCAGACCTGAACACCAAACAATCATTGACTTGTTGCCAGGAAACTATTCTAAACATCTTCCTCAGAGAGAAAAGGGCAGATTAAAAGAAATGTCCTTGTCCTTGCTTTAGTGAGAAAAAGTACATTTATTCCAGTTCTTCAAAATCATGTATCTAATTTATATAACTGCTGTTTTTTAATAAAAATGTTGACCTCTAAAGTCTCTTACATGTTTTCCTCTAGGATTATCCTTTATATTATCTTAATCCATCCTCCCTTAATCCCTGACCAGTTTCCTTGTCCCTGCTTAAAAACGTTCCCTACATTATGATGCTGCCACCACCATGCTTCACAGTGGGCATAGTGTGTTCTTATCACTTTTTTTAAACCCTCTTCCATAAAGGCCAGATTTGTTTTCTTGTCTTCCTGACAGTTTAGGTGGATAGCCATGATTTAGTCAGTTTCTCTATGTATTCCATTTTCCCATGAAGGGATGAATATTCAAATCTTGGTACTTAGCTCCATCATAAACGTCTCCGAACCCAACTGCTGTGTTCCTTGGTCTTATTAAAATCACACTAACCTGAATATTGTTTAAAAATGCACACTTGCATTGAAAGTGCTGCTTCTCAACTAAGTTTGCATGTTTAGCTTCCTTCTTTTTATATTTGGATTTGGTGGTGGGGTGGGTGCGAGGAGAGTTTGCTGTTTACAGGATGTCCACATCGCCTGAAAACTTCATGTATCTAAAATTAAGTTCTTATTTAAGCTGACTTCAAATAAATGAACCACAAGTCTTAATTTTGTTGTGGCAGAACTATTTAATCTCATATATTCTATGCAGAGACATCTAGCCAACCAGATATATAAATGTTACACTTACCCATTATGGATGTAAAAAAAAAAAAAAACAGTTACTTAGCTAGTTAGGGTAGCTTTACTCTGTAGATGTAAAAAAATAGCTAGCTTTACACTTTTCTTACCCTTATTTAGGGTGGCTAGCTAGTTTTTTACATCCATCATGGGTGAGTGTCAAATGTATTGCCAGCTGGTTGAACAATGTTCATCCAGCTGGCAATAAATTGCTTCACTTCTGTTGCCAGATCGTACAAATTTTTTATTTGCGACTTTCTTTTGTATATTTCTCTCACAATATAGGTCTTAAATTTCATTCATAATTTGCCTTTAAAAGTTCTTATTTGTGTTGATGAAACTTGTAGAACCTCTAGTTTAAATGGAGCTTCAACTCCTGCTGCAGAGTTTGGACACACATCCATGACAACATTGTACATACATGACAGCTAAAAGCACAAAGTAATGAGTTCAACCTTCCTCTTTCTGTTATGCTGTGTTTTGTACATCTGGTGTCTTCCTGCTTCTGGGGACATGGCTGGAAATCTCAGGATGTAGACAAGAGTGTTCAAGTATGAAATCCTGGTTGTTTTGAGGTCTGGACCAATTCTGTATCATAAACAAATATTCATTCATTTTGTTGACAACTCATATGCAACGCAAATGTCATTTTCTTTGAGATGGTTAAAATGTCAGCAAGCATTTTAGTTCTATGAGAAATTTTGACTTGAACCACAGAGACTTCACACTTCAGCAAATTACCTTCATTTCTCGAATCCGAAACAGGAAAGCTGAACCTAAAGTACAACAAATGAAGATGAGATAAAGATGACAAATTCACAGTGTGGAACAATTCCACAGTTCTATTCAAATTTTGTTCTGATTTTTCTAAATTTTATTTTCTAGAACTCCCAAGTTTTACAAAGCAAATACATTTTTTAACCTCGAAAAGGCTCTGGTTAAAATATAAACCAACCCTAAAAAAAAAAACTAACAAAAGCCAAACAGGAAGTTGCCGTTGCTTAGAAGCAGTCTGATTGTTTTAGCTTTTGCCTACACTGCCCCCTATGGCTCTGGCATGTTTAAAGCAACTCTCGGTGATGTAAATCAGATGGTTTGTGTGGATGAACACTTTTCTAACACTGATCCCGTGTGTACAATATTATTTGAAATGATGTGGCGAAGATATTAGTTTTTATAAAGACTCGGTAACATGTGCACAAAGTCCTAGATTGTGGGATAACCTCAGATTTTACATTTGTTGTATCGTATGCTCAGATGACCATATTCTACATTATGACATGCTTCTTTTGTTGTTGCCTGATTTCACAGATTGCTGTACTTTTGAGTTTTACTTTGGTCCAGTTGGACCGTGGACTTTGAGGAAGACTTTTCTAAAAGTGATAATTGTCCTGTCAGTTGTTAGTTTTAATGTCCTTAGCATCAGCTTAGTTCATTTATGAGATGGGCCGGCTCTGGTGGACACAGACCCTACAAAAATCTTGAAAGTTCTCTCTAAAAACTTTAGTAGTAAAGTTTTCCTCTAATGTCTTTGTAATTAGGGTTTTTCTCAAGACCATAATTGTATATGATCTTTATTAAATATTAACTTAGAAAGTTAATAGAGAATAATGATGTGCATGAGTTTGGTAACCACAACACTTTTGCTGTTGTGTCCCCAGAGCAGCGGGAGGCGGAGCAAGAGGAGGACAGCGAGTGCCGAGAGGAGGGACAGGACCTACCGATCGCCTGCGGCGAAGACATCCACCTCTATGACAACCAGATCAGCCCTGGGCCAGGTCAGTGCTGCAGAGGAGAGGGGACGGCACCTAAAAACGGAGTTTTATCAAAATGACAGAAGTTACTGTCTTAGCTGACTCTCTTGGCATCTTCACGTAATATAAACCCAGACTAGTTGGGCATTAGATGTTAATGCTAATGGCTACCATGGAAGCGGTCAAGATCAAAGGCTCACTTCTGTGATTTTTAAACAACTCAGATCTTTAGCTATTAATTAATGTTGTTGCTGACATGTTGGCATGTCGGTTAGTTAGTTTTATAGGATCTGATGGTTATTTCTACAGAAAATTGAATATAATTAACATACTGAAAACAGAACATGGAAAGCCTTTCAGGTCGAGGTAACCACCTGGAGTAAAGCGGTTTGTAAAGCAAAAAATGTTTGTTGATTTAGTATAAATTTATTTTTACTGTGCTGTAATTGAGCCTTTTTTTTTTAAAGGCTAAATAATATGGAAAGCTGTTTCATATATATAAATAAATACTTTTGTTTATAGATAAATAATACATTTTCCATCTAACAAATAAGTGAGCCCATAAAATTAAAAAATAAATCTAAAAGATATTTTTTTATTTATGTATTTATTTCACTGTTTATCTCATAATAGTGTTTTATTTTGTGACACTTTGTAAAGTTTTGTTCCATATTTCGTAGACTTTGGATTTACCTTCGTTTTTATTTCAGGGTATTTTTAATTCAAATGAGGGGGCGGAGTGTTTTTCTGTGGAACAAATCGGTTTTGCAAAATCTAATCGTCCAACCTGGAGGGAGATGGAGAAAACCTGTGACTGACCAAATGAGCTCTCTGTTGAAAATATATCTATATCTAGTGTTGAATGAATCGGCTCCCTGTAGAACAAAGCAGCTGAAAATATTTTGAAAAAAAGAAAAACAAAGATAGAAATTAGAGCTTCATTTTAGTTAAAGACAGATAATAATAGGGATAACACACTTGTCATCTAAACACTGATTACATGTCATTATTTTCTGTCATATAAAAAAAAGAATTCAGGCCCGATGGGGGCGGGGCATCCACTTCCCTAAATGATTCTAGTTCAGAGTTCAGACATTGATGCTCTGTTGAAATCCACATTCAAATCTGTGACCAGGTTAATCCAAAAAATTTTTTTTTTTTTTTTTTTTTTTTTTTTAGCAGAACTTCAGATGCCTAGCTCTTGAACTTAAATTTATGAACTGATGATGGGGCATTCTCCTTCATCACAGAAAACACTTTCCATGGCTCCATCGAATACAACCCATCGTCCAGGTGCTAACGAGGCAAAGCAGCCCACATCATCACTCTGCCACCACCATGTTTGGTGTTCTTTTCTGAAACGCTGAGTTACAGGACACACAGCCTCCAAGAAGTTCAACTTTTTCTCTTCATTCGACAAATTTTTCTCTTAAAGGCCTAGGAGACGATTGAGATCTTTTTGCCAAGTCTTTTCCTTTTCTTTTTTTAATGTTTGAATGATGAACACTGACCACAACTGAGTCAGTTCTTTTCTTCTCGATTCAATTAGAAAAACTGTTTTATTAATCCCAAAACATAATTAAACTCAGAGGCCTGCAGTGCTTTGGCTGTTGTGTGACCTTTAGTGACCTCCTGAATGAGTCATCAGCAGTTCTGGCCAGCGGGTCACTCCTGAGGAGGTTCACCTCTGTGTCGGATCCTACTGGTTCACTCAGGTCCCAGAGCCTGGAAACATTTCCAGACTGATAGATGTCGGTGACTTTGTTTCTCATCTTTCCTTGTATATCTTCAGATTGGGAACATTTCTTACTTTTTCAGATCTTTTAGCAACTTCATGTTGTCAAAGCTGGACTGATAAAAACATTTCATAAGTAAATTCTGCAACAGCGTTCTAACAGTTTTGCGTTTTTTGTCATAGTTTACTTTTGTTTTGTTGTGACTTTTTGTTTGTCTAATTCAGTAAGTTTTAGTTTGTTTTTAATGTGTTTGCTGGTTTTTAATAGTCATTATTAGTTAAATATTGTTTGGTTTCAGTTTAGTTTTTATTAGTTCTTGTAACAGTTTTAGTTTTTTCATGCTTTGTTAATTTTTAGGAAAGAATTCAAAAAGGTCAAAATACTGCATTTTGACCAATCATTATTAGATAATGATTGCTCAACAGAGGATAACATTTTTAAAAAATTAATTCAAATATTATTGCACTGACTCTGGTGTTTTCTCCCATTTCTCACCATTTTGCAGTCTGAGGGGAGCATGGAGTTGTGTAGTTTGTCGTAAACTGCTTGTGTGAAAATAAAAATCAATTTCACATCAGTTTGAACAGCTAATAAACAGATTCACAGACACGAAAACAAAGGATATCACACCTAAAATTTCAGTATGTTTTAGTTAGTTTTATAAATGTACAATATAGTTCCAGTTATAGTATTTCCCCATTAATTACAACAAATTTTACTTATTTCTGTTTTGGTTGTTTTGTTTGTTTTAGTGTTAGTGTTGCAGTAATCAGATTTCCAAAAACATGTTGCAGATCATGCTTCATTCATGATCTAACAGTGGACAATAATTTTGCTCATAAGCTTTTTATCTTCATAAATGAAATAATTACTTTCAGTATTGGATTTTATTACATTACTTTTGAAATTTGTTTGATCTGAAACATTTGTGACAAAAAAAGAAGTGAAACTACAGCGATGTAGTTTGACAGGACAGTTCGTCTGCCTTCATATTAGCTCAGTTTGTTTATTTCAGGTTGAATTTAACTCATTTTAATATAATACAGTTATTATGACAGCTGTCCCTACAGACAGATTTGTGCAACATGCATCTTTTGTGCAGCGGTTATCATACTTACCTCATGTGGAGCATTTAGATGTATTTGTTATGCTAGTTAAGAGTTAGCATCAGTGGCAACATGAGACTAAATCTGTGCATTAAGCACATCTAATAAAAGCAAACTGAATCCAGTGGTTGAAACCACGTCCCTTTGTGTAACTGTAATGAGTTGTTAGTTGTGAGGAAAACATCTCCAGTGCAGGTGCAGGATGTTTGTCATGCCCATCACAGCCTGCTGGTAGATTTTCACAGCATTATTCACTGACAGTGCGGCTGAATGCTGATTAGTGGGCTTTGTTTTGAGTTTCTGGATTTCCTCCTGCTGTTTGCATACCTTTATGTTTTTTCATATACCAATCTATTTCATTATTCTGTATTAACAAACAAGTCCTGGAATGTGTTCTGTGTGTGTGTGTGTGTGTGTGGGGGGGGGGGGGGGGGGGGGGGGGGGGGGGGGGTTGGGCAGATTTTTTTCCCTCCCTCCTCTATT